GCCAACTAAACTGATCCTAGTTTGTTATCATTTTCTCTAGCTTAAACCCATGGGGACCTAAAAAAAAAAAAAAAACTACCAACACCTGTTTCAAATAAAGTGTTTGTTAAAATAATTTTTAGGACCAATTACACGAACGGTGCTTCGAATATGTACTTTATCAAATTTTATTTTTGTTAATTTAACCACTCAAATTATGAAATATAAATTTAAATGGTCTTAACGTTCACGCTATTTAAATAGATGAATAGAAATCGAGGTATTTTCAAAATTTTATATGAAATTTTAACAAAATTAAAATAGTCATACACATGGTTTTCAAATTATATAATTTGTTATATTTTGATGCATAAAATATGCATGTTATTGTATTTTAGTCCTAATTTTTTTAATTCTGTTTTATTTTTTAAAGTTTCAAAAGTGCCTTACCAGTAATCAATTTAAGCAGCATAAACATTGGGTCTATTTTATTATAAATTGACAAAGTTAAAATGTTCATCTTAAAAAAAAAAAAATTATGGATTACAAAGCACATATTTATAACATTTTAATATTACTGTATTATAATTTTTTTAAAAATTTAATTCTTAATCAAAGGTATACCACTCATCATCTTTTACAAGAATACAGAAAATGGATTGTGATTATCTCAATTCTAAAATTGTAATGAAAGATTTTTATTACATTATCAATAGGATGATCATTTTTCCCCATTCCGCTCTACACTAGCATCCCCTGTCCTAACCCACATGGATTTCCCATCACCCTGATTAAGAAATGGGATGGGGTGAGTTTTGCTTTCCATGCCTCCTTCCACCCGGACCACACTCTGATTATATTTATTAAAATATATTTATATGTATGTAATATATAATTTATTTATTTTTATTATAATAAAATTAAAACATTAAAATATTATACCTAATATTAATTTTATTCATTTATTTTCTATTTTATGTAATATAATTTTCATTAAGTATAAATTATTATTCATAATATGCTCTATTATTCGCCTCTTGCCTCCGTTTCTGTCATTCCCAATTTGTCCCGCCCCTGATATAATAGGGGCCGGGGACGAATTTCTATAAACCCGTCTCAAACTTTATCCGTGACCATTGTTAATTATTCAAGAGTTTGTAATGATCGTTTCTAAATTTAAAATAGTGATAAATTCTCATAATTATTTTACAATCCTTAAATGTAATGAGATCCTCAATTAAGTGGAAATGACTTAAAAATCTTGTATATTTAAAGATGTGTTAAAAAAAATTGTGAAATGTATTTGAGTATGCGACAAATAAAAAATTAACCCCTGATTAAGGCCGAATTGTGTAATATTGAGGCTATTAATTAAGATCTTTTAATTTTACGTGCTTGTTAAACTATATATTTTATGTCTGTTTAATATCAATCAGGTTGTACATAGTCAGAGCATAAAACGGACAAAAACATAGAATTTGGAGAGAAAAGAGATTCTCGCACGTGCGTTGACTTTTCACGCACGTGCAGTAGTACCTCGAAAAACAGGCCCGATGTTTGTAACTTGTTTGAAAGACAACAGAGGTATAAAAAGGTAAGAAAGAGGTTGGATTAGGGTTTTGATTTTTTTTTTCCAATGAGAGAGAGGCTAGGGTTTGGAGGAAATGATTCTCAAGCTTTCAATCCAACTTCCATGGGGTCTTCCATCTCTTCTACCTCTTTCCACTCCTATATGAATGACTGGTCTTCTTTTCTAAGATTTTGATGAAACTCTAACCATATAATAGGATTTTTCATAAACTTTAATTGTGAATCGGTTTGAATCAATGTATGGATAATTTAGAAGTTTTTAATAATTGTTCCTTTCATCTCTTCAAGTATTTTACTCTCTGTGATTGTTTAATGATTTCTATATATTAATTTTTTGTGTGTTTGTATACAAAGTACGAGACGAGTCATGCTACGAGAAACAGGTCGTGTTGCTACCATAATTTAGAGCAAATACCTCGTGCTACTTGGAATGATTCGTGCCTGTACGTTGAATGCGACAACATATTGGGTATTTCAAACCGGATTGCAATTGATGGCCGATGTTAAATCTCATTTATGTAGTTAGTGGTAAATTCTTTACCCTAGAATTTTTTTCCCAAAATTAATATCTTAGATCCTAATTTTAATTGTTAATTTAATTTATCAATTTTATTTAATTCCTATTTAGTCATAAAATCTCTCAATTTTTTTAATCAAAATTAATTTAAGAATTTAGCAATTGAATTAGTCTAATTTCACATTTGTCTTTGCGAATTGATACCTGAACTTGTCATTATTCTAAAATAAATTGATATAATTTAGTATTTATTTTTAGTGTGTAAAACGATACATCAAATTTTGGTGCGTGTAACCCCTATTGTACTTAGATTAAATTGGAAATTTTTTTTAGGGTCTAAAATATTTTCATGAAAAAAAAAAATAAAAAAATCCTACGTTTACCCGAACTTTCCCTCTGCCTCCCTCTCTCCGTTTTGTATCCGCCAGCGGAGTCACGCTCCCATTGCCCTCTCTCTCTCTCTGTCTTTCTTACCAGGTGAGAATCCAAAGTCCATAATGTCCTACTTATCATCAACATCATAGCTCTCAATCTGTTTATCCTTGACATTAATTTGTGTGTTTGTTAATGTTCTATATTGAATTCTTTGAATTATCTTCAATACGTTCTCTTTAATTTGGGCCTAACAACATGAACTGATCAGATTCTACACATCAATGTAATTATCAAGATTAAGAAACTCACTTCTAAAATTAAGTTCAATTCGTAAATGTGAGTGTTCAATTGGTAAAAGCTTGAATTACGAGATTTTGGGGTTAAATCTATGGTGTAAGACATGTTATGTCACTTACTTTGTGCGGGTTAGTTTTGCCACTTTGTGTAAAAGTTACGAATAAGCAAATTACTTGTGTTTTGTTATGCACAATATGTTTAAAAACTACTTATGTTTACAAACTATTTGTGGTGAGAAATGTTATGAACCGTTTTGATGGGAAAAGTTATGATATATTGTGGTTTGTGTTTTGAAAAGTATGACCATTTCAACAGTTTTTCCTCTTTATGTATTTGTTTTCCATTTTAATTTGCTTTTTATCTGTGGCCGTTGCATGTTCTGCCATATGTCGACAAAATCCTCTATGTTACTAGTTTCTGTCATTTTCAAGTCAATTATTTTATGTTCCCTTATGTTTTGCAGGCAAATTTATACTTTGCATTATACTTGTTCACAAAAGACTTTCTTTATATTGTTCCCGGAATGTGATTATGAGTCATGGCATTAATTCGGTGGTCTTTTGTTTGCTCGGTACTTTCCCTTTTTTAAGGACTATGATATTTGTGGATAAAATATTTCCTGCATGGCTTATTTTGGATGGAAAAGTATAGTGAATTGACGGCATTTGTAATTGATTTTTGGGAAATGTTCTCTATATATAAACCTTTTATATTTGTGTTAATTTTTTGGGAGAAATATATGATTTTGAACTGGTTTACGGGGGAAAAATAATTAGAAACCTGAAGGAACTTTGGGTATAATTCTTGGTTATTTCCTTTTCTTTTGGTGGATTTGTGGTGTTATACTAAAGAATGAGAATTTTATTGCTTCGTATTCATTTGACAGGAACATTACATGAGAGATGGTTGTGTCTGTGACTTTGTTTTTGCGCTACCTTCTCTCTGCATATAAAATAAAATATGAAAGGCTCCTTGCAAGATGCTGACATGAAAGTGAAAAAGAAGGGCCGTGTAAACTAACTGATAATATTTGGACTAGTCATTTGGGGGGTGTAGTGGGTTTGACCTTTGCAAAATTGTGTTGAATACGAATGCGTTTACCTATAACCAGGAGAAAAAATTAACTGATAATAATTCAGTTCCTACCCTTTCAGGAAGATAATATATGTTTTTTGGTTGGGGAAAACAAGGTATGTAGGTTGATTTTCCTTAAAATACTCTGATAATGGTTGGTGCTATATGCCTATCCATGTACCAATGCATTCAGTGAAACTTCGTTTGGCTAAGATTTTGGGACTAAATAATCACAAAAAGACAAAATTGACTATAAAAGCCAATTAGACAAAATACTACTTTTTACCCATAATCATTACGCTTTTTCTTTCACAAAAGTCAAAAAAGTCCCAAAACAAAAACCAAACGAGGCTAAAAAAGCCAAGCTAAAAATGTCTCAACACAAAAAAGTTGGCTGAAAAAGCCAATGCCAAACGAGCTCTTAAGATTATTAAAATTTGAAGTCTAAACTTTCATTCCAGTTATGCTTTTACTTCGACTGTTCTTGAAGCGAACATAAAAGGTATTTCTTTTTCTCAACTCCTATGCCAATGATGATTTTGCATGCTACTCATCTGTGATAGGAACATTTTCTCTTTATTCACTCCTGCATGACTATAGATTTCAATAAAATGTTGCTCAGTTGTTATCTGCTACATAAGAAAAGGGAGACAATATATGGTGTTGGTCCTTGCATTATATTTGCAAAGTGGCTGCTCTCAGCTATTATTTGCAACATACTTCATGCAATTTATGTGGGTAGCATCAGTAAATTATGGCTACCTTTATAATTGTTCTTATTAGTTCAAGTTTGGTACAGAAATACATATCGGTTGTATGCAAATCTTAGACACTTCTTCAAAGAACATGTGTTCACTCTTCCTGAGATGATGCCAAATGCTAACTCAATGGGCTCACTCTTCCTGAGATGATGCCAAAATTTAACCTGACAATGGTTGGATCTTGGCGACTTTATTCACAACCACGCATGTTCACCTAGGAGCAAGGGGAGTATTATGATACTTTTTAATTGAATGATGAAATTAAGGAAAAATATTCATGGTAATTAATAGTTTTTTTTTTTTCCCTTCTTCTTTCAATCCTCAAGTGAGAACTCGAGTATGCTGAGGCAATATCGGTTATGGGTTACCTTATCAGTTGGGTGTGGGTTTGTGTGCATACTGCAATCTTGTGAAACATATTCCATTGATAAACTACTCAATTTCTTACTATACATATATTAAGATGGCCTTGGGTGGTGTGCAATTCTAATGCAATTGCAATTTGAAGCAGTTGATAAATATCATTGGGATCAAAGACTGCACAGAACACTTGGTATTATTGAATTACTTTTCAAGGGTGTGAAGAGAGTTTACTGCGATCTTGTTTCCCTTGCTGGCATCTCATGACTTTGTTGCTCAGGCTGGCTTAGCTGGAGATTGATGGGCACATATGAGTCCTCTCCAATGCTGAAACCATGTGGATTTTGCGTGCTGCCATTTGCTGCAGTCACATCCCTTGTTCCATAAATCTGAGGCAAGAAGTTTTGTCCCTAGTCAGGGAACTAATTTCACATATTATGCGTGCAAGCATTGTAGTATTTGAGTATATTCAGGGATGCTAGAAGATTGTTTTTAGTCTAACCAGATACCTTTTTACACAATTCCATGTTTTCTTGACGAATTAGGTTTGCCTTCTTATAAAGTTCGACATTTTCTTGATGCATAAAGTTCTCCTGTAATGAATCCAACAAAGCTTATTTTAGAAAACTGAAATTATTCTTGACAAAAAGTTTGATTAATATCCATCATTTGGAGAGACCTTTTGGCTTAGCTCCTGTATCTCGTCCATTAGAACCTGGTCCTGTTGAAGTTAAGAAAAAAACATCTAATGTAAATAGAAAATTCATGTTAAGTATGATGGACCTTCTGCATAGAAGGCCACACAAGTTCTACTCTTAAGTCTTAAGCATTGCATGAAGAGTAAGGGTATCACCTTTTGCATGCGGACACCTCGCAAACTCATTTCCAGTTGGTTCTCTAGCTTTTGTAGGTCGTGGACACTCAAACCATAAAGCTCTTCTCCCATCAATTGCCTGTCTCATCAAAATTACAATCTTCTTTTCGCTATCAGACCTTAGTTATAATTCAATATATGATCAGTCTTACATGTCTTGAAGAGATAAGGGAAGCAATTTTCATTATTTGTCTAGTGAAATCTAGGGATCCTCTAGGTTTTTTATCCTTTATTGGAGAATCTTATTGATTGTTAATCATGCCATTGATTTCCAGTTTAGGGGGCAACAATTACAAGAACAAAGGATATATACTATCAAAAAAGAAACTGAAATATCTTGTAAATGTTAAAGCAAGCGAGAAATGTACTAAAAGACTTATCTCAACATAAAAGCATAAACAAAAGTGCCATGAAGAAGTCAATGTGCAGGTCAAAATCATGGAAATATATTCTTACAAGAGAAGGCTAGAAATGATGATGAAACATGCAAAAAGGGTGGCCAAAATTGTGAGAGAACTACAGACACACACAATTAAATAAATAAATAAATAAATTTTGTAATTGGATAACGGGAAAGTATAAAAGGAAACTGGATGAAACTGAAGAATGTAGACTAGAACAAAAGAGAAGGGAAAGGAAATCAGCAAGAGGGGCAACATAACATTTTGAAATCCTTTTTAATGCCAAAAACAAAAATGACATAATGCTTCTGTAGTAGAAAAATTGTGATGTCCAAAATATGTGACCAATAAGAGTAAGAATTAAAAGGAGAAGGGAAAGAAAGAAAAAGAAGAGAAGAATGGGAAGGAGGAGAAGAATAAAGAAAACTGGAGCATCTGGCTCTAGCTTCTATTCTCTAAAACCACAACTATTTTAAAGAGTGTTATTGAGGACATAATATAATCCTTAGTAGCACAACCTATGTAACATATGGTACGGCTCTTATTTTTTTGTGATAATCATCCATACATTACATATATTTTAAATAATTTATGAAGCATACTATTGACGTGTAAGGAGGAGAAGAATAAAGAAAACTGGAGCATCTGGCTCTAGCTTCTATTCCCTGAACCCATAACTGTTTTAAAGAGTGTTATGGAGGACATAATACAATCCTTAGTAGCACAAGCTATATAACATATGGAACAACTCTTATTTTTCTGTGATAATCATCCCTACATTACATATATTTTAAATAATTTATGAAGCACACTATTTTACCAACTATTGTATGGTATCAAGTGCTATGCTATTTACCAGGTCAATTACCTTTTCATTTAAAATCAAGTATATCCAAGCTAAAGGAGAAGGAATTTTACCGATAATTTTCTTGCAAGTTGTGTAATTGTTGCCTCAAGATTTCTGCCTCCCTTTGCCAAAACTAGCAAGTATGGTGGCACAAATTAAAGTGTATACAGTAGAGTGTGAGAGACTTCAGAGCATCATGACTAAACCGAATCAGAGTGTTTGAAAATCTAAGTCATGGATGTAACATGACACTTGCTGAAAAAAGAAAATATAACATGACACTTACTCAACAAATAGGCCAGGCTACTAAAGCATTTGTTGCATTGGCTACAGTCATTAGGCTTTTATTAGGTTTCAAAATTGTTTTGTGAATATTTCCATTGTACCCATAAGCAAAATTTTGTAATTTGTTTTCTTTGAACTCATTATAGTGGACTGTGGACCTATATCACAAAATTTTAAGAATTTGAGGAGTGAGGACTGGAAAATGTGAATTCTCAGTCAACTGGAGTTGAACATGTCAAATTATGTAACCATGCATTTTCTTTCTTTTACTTATTTTTCCTAATGTAATCTTATCATATTTTTACATTTTATAATTTACCGCTCCTTTCTCAATCAACTCATGAATTCTATAAACATTGCAGGTTAATGAGCTCGTTCACTAGTAAGACATCCCATTTTTCTAAAATGGTCATCCCATTGTTATAAATATCTAATTGAAGTGATGATTTTCGTTTGTTAATCTTTATGGGGAACGAGTTCATATTAGGATGTGCATGCTGAAGAGTGCGCGTGACTCATGTATGCAAGTAATGCACAAAACATGCTTGTCATATTGTCAATAATTTACGCATTCATGTCTATTTATATCTTGCTACCTGCAAGAAGAAACAATTCAACTCTTTCATGGTATTAACATCATTACAGAACCATTACTAGGCCTTTTTTAAATCGTAGAATAAATGCCTCTGCTACATGAGAAACAGATCACTCCATGCATCTAGTATCCAAAAGGCTAATTTACTTGATCCATTAACTTGTGAGCAGTTTCTAAAATTTTGAACTTGAAATGAATATCTGCTTTTAGAAATTCTCACTAGTATACTTCTTCTTCTCTTCTCTCTCTCTTTCTTTTTTTCAATTAAACAACATGCCAGGGTTCCAAATGTCACTCCAGTGGGAAATTACACTACCTTGGTAACAAGATAACATCACAAGGTAACTTTTCACTGGAAGAAATATTTGCAAATATAACCCTTGACATTTTGATTTTAGGTGAAATTATTTTGCAATGTAAGTTTCATTCCTAGAAGAATCATGTGCAGTAGCTATACATATTAAGGGGAAATTGGATTGCTTGTACAATCATACTTTGTTCTGAGATACAGAAAAATGAGCAATATTGTTGCATATGATATTTTTGTTGAATTTTATGTTTTGAGTTATTCCTAAGATGATTTTATTTCCTTAGTTCATTCAAGAATTTTGTGTTAAAAATTGTAGCACAGTTGTGGTTATTACAATTTTTCTGATATTATGAAATGTTGCAGGATTGTGACAAACATTTTTTGTCTAAACTAACTCAAACATCCTATCTTTTTGTGGCCATTCTTGTACTTTCTTAGCCAAGGAAATCTATGAGCTTTGCCACTTTCCACTTGCATTTTAAAATAAGATGCAGGAAAAGGACAAGAAGTGGGAGCCATAATTGTCCAAAGATAGCTATCCAAAATGTTTGGACAATGGTATATCCTTTCAGAGATTATTAGCACACAAACAAGAGTGTTGAAGGCATCAACACCCATAAAGGTTTTCATGTCAGTGCACCGTTTTGTTGACATAATTCCGTTAAAAATAGTTTTTTTCTCTTAGCTGAGCAGGATTCTAGAATAGTACGATTCCATTTCTTTTCTTGTTGTAGTAAATGAAGTGATTTCTAATCACTAAAAGTTTTTCTTACTACTGATACCCTTTTTGTGTTCCAGCCACATTTCAATGCCTAGATGGAGTTTTGGAACTGTACCTACCATGTGATATGTAAGTATTGATATATGGGTTCATGAAACAAAGGTGATAGCAAAACAACACTAGAGTGAATATGCAAACGTTGTAGGAGAACTTTGTGCATGATTTGATTTTAGATGACCAATATGTCTGTGCATATGCTGTATGGGTGCTACAAAACGTGGAAGTACAATCATTTAGCGTCCATAATTCTACTCGCGGCTTATTGAAACAAAATTTAACAAGTATTGCCCTTACGCACCATATTTCTACAAATGATTATCTGAATTATAAACAAATATGACGAGAATGACCCCTGCTTTTTAACAAGTATTGTTCTTACATATCATATTCTATAAACCTGCCTCAATGACATTTGAAAGATAAGAGTTTAGATGTGTCTTAATGCTTGATGGAACTTAAAAGACCCCTGCTTACTACATATATAATGTTATGTTATTTAGCTACTTTTGTAGTGTTCCTATAGTAATGCAAAATTGTATATCTCATTAATATGCATATGCATATATTTAATAAATTCTCAGCACTATTGCATTGAAGGCTAAACAGAACAAAAATATGCCATCCACATCATTAATTCTTCTGGAGAAATTGCAGAGCTAGAGTAGTTCGAGGGAGTGTACCTTGACTTCTGATACTTGATTTTGCAGTTGACGTTCCTCATTGGATTTATTATACCTCTCAATTACTGATTTCATGCTGACAATTGTAAACAGAAGAATGATTAGATTCTTGTTGCTGTTGTATTTATCATCTTTAACACTGGGAAGTGACGGCGCAAGTGTCGGGGAATTTGCATCGTTGTGAAGGCAGAAGCAGGTAGGAGAAGCTTTGAAGAAGCATGAAAAAAAGGGGGATAAAAAGTCCACAAAATAATCCCTGTATCTGAATAACTATTTTAGATTACTTTATCTCCAATTTTCTGGTGTTTCATTCAAATGTATGTATTTCATGATGAATTTGTTCGAATACAAAGTGATTTGATTTCTGTCTTGTGTTATGACTCAGCATTGCATATGCCCAGAAATCACAATGTTATGTTCACTTTGTCTTTTTCTTATGTCTACACACACTTTGTTCTATCATATATGATTTTAGAAACTGATCCTACTTTGCAGAAACCGGAAGATCTGACAAAAAGAAACAAGTAAATCAAATTCATATACTTTAATTTTTTGGGCAATTTTTGTAGTTATTTTATTGGATGTAGCATTGTTGTTGAGAAATATCTCTTACAAGTGACACTAACATAGACAGTGGTATAGACATTGATCAAGACACTGTGTTTGGTTTAAGGATTTGAGAACGGATTTAGAAAAAGAATGTGAAAAAGATTGGTGAATTTTTAAATCTCTCCTTAAATTCATGAACTAGAAAGATCGATTTTACATGAAGGAAGACACTTGGGCTCCATCTAGAACATGAAGGAAGACACTTGGGCTCCATCTAGAACGATGGATTTCAAATAAAAGAGATTTGAAATTAAATTTTAGAAAGCAAAAGAGAGTTGCCCATATACATAAATTGAAAAACTATAGGGGAAGAAGATAGGGTAGAGCTTTGAAGAAAATATATATTTTTAGGATTTGTAGAGCTAGAATACATAGCATGAAGGATTTGAAGTAAATTTTTTTACATACATTATTATCTTCAATTTATCATGATAAAACTCAAAAATTCAATATTGAAATCTATATTTAAACTCCAAATTTTTTATTTGGGTGTCCTTTGGCTTTGTTTATAAGTTGGTTTATTTTTTTAACCTATTCTTCTTATTATTAATTTTTTTTAAAAAAAATTCTACACTTTTTTTTTTTAAAATACTTTTGAAGCCTGTCTAGATTGGATGATAAAAATTGACTTTATTTTCATTTTTACTGAATTTTTTTACTGAATTTAGTATTAAAAAAAATCATTTAATTTTTTTTTTTTTTTTGTTTTAAAGAAAAAAATCATCTTTAGTCAGTCTATAGGATTGATGTGGTATGCAATAATGAAAGTCTTGATTGCTAATTTCTTTCACAAAGCCCCTAGATATAAGTATAAAATCAAGTGTTCACTTGTACTAACCTTGATTCTCATGAATTGATATAATATAATATATTCAACAACAGAGGTTTTTGAAATGGAACAAAGCAGCATAGATTGTCGTTCATGGTACCACATGGATAATATAAGAAAAGATGACACCACAACTAGTTCCTCCAATTAAAGAAATGAATCAAGGTAGTAATGATTTGATATTATTTGATTGGAAGATCAGAAAGATGTTTAATAGATTAGCTGTGATAACCAAAATTTTATATTGATTAAATTTATTTATTAAATGATATGTTATTACTATATTAATAATATTAGAAATACTAATAAACATATTAATAAACACACTAATTAACAATATAAGGTGAATCTCATATTAAGTGGCGGGAGTATGTATAAATTCTCTCATATATTTATTGGTATATTTGTTAGTTTTTTTAATATTGTATGATACAAAAGATCTCATATATGAATGACATATAAGATACCACGTCATTAGGTAAGCAAATTTCATACAAAAAAATTGGTTATCCTAACATTAATCAATGTAATTTTCAGTGGTTTGATTTGTCTTTAACTTATTTGTGGAGATAATGATGCAAAATTTAGTAAGCTTTAATTCATAGAATGCTCTGATAATGGTTATATATACCTTTCTTGACTTCTTTATCCTACATTGAATTCAATAAAAGCATGGAACCAACTTCTTTATCAATTAGTTTTGTATTTATTTTTATTTTTTTATACTAGAAACCCTAGGACAAGAACACCTTCACTGTGTGCATCAAAAGCAAAGATCCAAGACCATAGTGTGAACAACTTGCATATCACATACATATTCATAATGACTATAGTAGTTTTTGGTTCATTGAAATAATTTTAGGCAATGACTATTTTTTGATTTTTTCAATAAAAATGACAATTCGCTTAAATTGATGAATTATGATTTTATTTGAAATGTGCATTTTTTTTTTTTTACTGAATTAAATGGGGACTACCCGTCATTTTAATAAACTAAACACTGCCTAAGGACATGAATTTTTTTCAAAGATGATTATCAAAATATAGGATTGCTTCTACTAAATTATTGACATTTAAGGTAAGAGTGAGACTAAAGGATGCTATCTTTGTAGCCCTTTCTGATTTGCAGGGGTGGAACCACTTATCAAAGAACTGATGATCAAGGAATTTTTTATTTTATTTTATATTATCAAAACTCAATGTTTGATTTATTAAAAGGAAATAGAATTAAATGAAATAATCATTTTTTAACCTCGCTATATAATTACAATTAGTAAATAATAATTTCATTTGTGCTACATTTTTCATTATCTTAGAATAATTATTTCATTCTATTTTTTCGTAGTGAATCAAACAGAGTTACCCTCTACTAAGGCCGAGTTTGACATATTTCAAAAAAGACAAAAAGTCAAAAAATCACTATTCTATTTAAGTCACATCATTTTATTTAAGTCACATCACCTCTGTAACACATCGTTTCAAACCCAACCCAAACCTAACCCATATTTCATAAAAAGTCAAAAAGTGCACTTATTTAGATCATCCCAAACAACCTCTAACTTCTGCAAAGATGATAGGAGACGAAATTTAAAATACAAGCTACTAAGGACAAGATTGAAAATTGACATACTCCAAGATCCATCTATGGTGACTCTAGAAAAATATAAGGAGTCTTACACTGGTGTAAGATCCATCTATGGTAAGATCCATAAACAATTAACTGAGGTCTCATATTTTGGCAGATTAAGTTAGATGGGAATATGAGTACGTTGAGATTGAGTGAGAAAATTATTAGTGTGGTAATATTATATTATAGATATTAGATAAAATGGGTTTATTTGTATATTAGTGTGGTGGTATTAGTTAATTAGGACTAAATCTATAAAGTTATCTAAAAGTCCTCATTGTACAAAAGATTATTATTTTTGCAAAATGAGGGTAGTCTTTTTGAAGAGTTATTGATATTGAATATACTTTCTTGATTTCCTCTGCTCACTTACAATGATATATATACATATCAGATACAAGATATATTGCTAACAATCTAACTGACTAACCACCCCTAACTAATTCTGTTAGAGCATATAATCACATGTGACACAGTACAACATATACTAAACCACTCCATTGTGATCTGTTGGATTATGAACTGCATTGTGATCTACTGGATCTGCTGGATTACGATCTGCAGATGGTCGTTCTCTATCACTTTTCACTCCTAATCTCATGGGTTTGTATTGGATTGTGAATCTCTCCTCCTCCGTGAGATTACTAATCCCACTCTTTGGGGGAATTAACAATTCCATAGGATTGTTAGTCCCATAATTGTTGTTACAACCAAATAAGATTTAGGTAGGACTTACCTCACTCTTAATCCAATCTCATCATCTAAGAGGGATAACAAACATGGCCTAAAGGATGAATTTTCTTCTTACGGAGCTCCTTTAATAGAAGCCTACTCAAACCAATAAGAATTTTTTTTGTGGGTTTATGCCACTATTTTACTTCTTGTGCCATAATAGATTGGTGGATTGAGCTCCAAATTTGAGAGATGCAAATCTTGGTTGAGACTGAGTTTACTCCAAGTAGACATCACATCCTAAGTAATAGGTATATCATTCGAGGGTGCAAGTGAATGGTGCAATGCAATTAATCTAGCAGCTGATGCAAAGGCTCTCTGAACATGATTCCAAGCACACTATCATTCAGATTTACGTAAACATGACAGTCAGAGACAACATATATCAGCAAGCATATACCTCCATCCACACAAAAAGAAATGTTGTAAGAAAAGACTATATAGGAAAGGGCTACCTGGTGCTTGTCATAATATTTTGTAAGAAGATTCTAATTGGCAACAAAAAAATAATTCAGATAACATGTTGTCAAACCTGGTGCTTGCGAATTCATACAGCTTGCTGGTGCTGGAGAAGATAATCAGACCTACTTCTGCATCGCACAGAATCGCTAGCTCCTTCGCCTTCTTTAAAAGCCCGTTCCTTCGCTTGGTGAAAGTCACTTGTCTGCTCGTCGTGTTATCGATCCTCCTTATCACAATCTTCCCTCTCCCCATCCTCACTGTTCTAGATTCTAGGGTTTGTATCATATATATTTATATGCATGTACATAGAGGGTTTTATTAGTTAGATCTTGTTGGATGAATCATAAAAACCCATTAACTGAAAATGAAAGAAGACTCAGAAGAAAAAGCTTACACAGTTCAGCTCTGAAACTGATTCTAGGGTTTTGATGGTGTGAGAGTGAGAGTTCTTTCTGTGAAGCATTTATTGCAGCTTAAGGTCTAAAGCTTTTTTTTATTGGTAAACAACGGTTATGTTTGGCATGTTTTTTTATTTTTATTTTTTTGATTATTTTAATCGGAAAAAGATAAAATAGATTAAAAAGTTAATGAGATAAAATATCATATACAAATTATAATTATTTCATTTTTTTTTCCACAAAATTCAAAAAAATCATTCAAAACGAAACTTTTAGTACCAAACTAAAATAATCAAAAGCAACTCATATTTCAAACAATGGTAAAGTGGCTTTAGCTTTGGGGACTGTTTGTTACAAATTAAGGGTTTATTTGAGATGTTCTAAATTACTGTACTTTTTGACTTTTTATGAAATATGGATTGGGTTTAAAGTGATATGGTAGAGAGGTGATATGACTTAAATAGGATGATTTAATTTAAATAGGATAGTGACTTTTTGACTTTAGCCCAAAAGTTACAACTTTTAATTCTGAAAAGGGCTCAAAAACAGGTAAGGTATATTGGTTTTGAACATTTTATCGGATGACATAAAAATGAAACCTTAACAGTGGAAAAGTCGGGGGAGCGGCGAATCAGAAATTTTGTATATTCCTTCTGACACGTGGGGTGTTAGGAGTCTTACCTTAAAACTTCTAAAAATGGAAAAATAACATTTGTGGATACACAGCTTCTTTTGGTAAACCTTATCCCATGTACAAAAATTTATGAAAAATGCTATAAGTTATTATTTATTTTATTTTATTTTTTTGATTTTCTTACCATTAGATATAAAGATTAAGGTTTTCATATATATATATATATATATTAATATAAATCTCATTCTCTTTGTGTCCAGTGTTAAAAAAAAAACCTAATAAGAAATCTGTTTATGCATATTATCACTCAATTTTTACACATAATAATGTAGCCTTTTGTTTTATGATAAATTTAGATAATAATTCACATTATTGTGAATAGGATTTGTATAAAAATTATATTTATGTACCGCTTCTCGTTTTTCATCTAGTTTAGGTGAAAGCGAGAACCAATATTAGATCTTTAATGTAACCATAGAAATTGAATTTAGTAGAACAAAATAATTAAAATAAATCACTACACTAATTCAAGATAATAAAAAAAAAAAAGAGGAGGAAAGTAAATATATGATTTTTTTTTATAGCTTTTCCCTATATTTTCTTTTCCTAAACAAATCACTACTAATTCAAGATCGAAGAAGCATTAATATTGTATTTGGTTGGAGGATTTGATGAGGGATTTTGAAAGGGAAATGAAAAAAGTAGGTGAAATATAAATATTTACATTTCACCTAATTTTACACATCTTTTTTTTTTTTTTCCATTCTAAATACTTTCACAAATCTCCCAACTAAACACTGTGTAAAGCGTTCAAATTAGGTGAAAAGTAATGCAATGGGCTGCATATATACAAATTCAAATCTAACGGACGTGTTTGTTTTGTTTTCTACTTTGCTTCTCACCAATTGATGGTTAGTAGTAAAACCCTCCAAAAAGTAAAAGAAAGTCATATTTAACGGCACATTATTTTTGTTTTGAATTTTCCAAATTATGTAAAAAAAATAAGGAAGATTTATGTATCCGTCTTAATAGATATACTTATTGTCGAATAGGTTTTATGATAATTAATAATATTTTTCATCAAATATTATTAAATAACGTTATTAATTGTTAATTTTTAACGACAGTTTAAAAAAATCGTCATAAACAAAGTTACTAATTTTCAATTTTCAATGACAGTTTAAAAATTTTATCACAGAAAAAGTCACTAATTGTAAATTTTAGCGACAATTTATAAAAAAATGACAAAAAAAATCTCTAATTATTAATTTTTGGCGACAGATGTAAAAAATTATTACGAAAAATTATTTTTAAAAATAATTTTAGTATGACTTATTTTCAATAGGACTTGATAGGAATTAAATCCAATTATTAAAATTTATTGATAATTTATCCAAAATTTAATGCGATGGAAGTCCCTATATTATCCCATCATTTATTGATATTAGTGACATGTATACAAGTAAAGAAATTATTAGATAGTCTCACAATATTATATTACTTATATAATACTATCAATAAATAAAAATCATAAAACATAATAAATACGTAATCTTTTATCACTTAATTAAAGGGATTTTTTTTAAGGTTTTTGGTATTAAGATTTTATAATATAAATGACACTTAATATTTTCATAATGTCTAAGGTCCCTCAACATCGATCTAGAGAATTTCTCTGGACAAATCACAGAGAAAATTCCAAATTTCTTTGGGCATATCACAGAGAAAATTTCAAATTTCTCTAGACAACAATGAGGACTACTGCTTTGCTTCAGTGAAAATTGGGTTGGTCCAGAGAAATTATCTAGTTTGGACTAAATTTTCTCTAAGTTGAACTCAATTTTCTCTAGGTTGGTACAGAGAAATTTTCTGGTTTGGACTGAATTTTCTCTGGTTTGGTTCAGAGAAATTCTCTGGTTTGGATTGAAATTTCTTTAGATTGATTTGAGGGATCTTAGACGTTCTCTCCTTAGCATTTCATCAAATACCTTATTTGCTAAATCCATGTCCCCTTGTTTTTGTTTTTTGTTTTTTGTAAACTGTGCATCAAGGTGATGTCAATAAATAATTGCTTCTGTTTTGTTGTAAACCCTTTATCTGCTCATGCTAAAAAGATGTGTGTTTTGTATTACTACAGCCACTCTAGAAAGTATCAAGATAGGACTCTCAACTGTAGTACTTCATGTATTCATTTTAGGTAATTGAATTTGTTCAATTTAAAGAAAGATTACAACACCCTGGATAATATTTGATGGCAAAGATTGAAACACCCATTCTACAACTAAAGCAGAATGCAGATAACAACACTGAGGACTAGTGCTCTGCTTCAGAGAAAATTGGGTTGGTTCAGAGAAATTCTGTAGTTTGAACTGAATTTTCTCTGGGTTGTACTCAATTTTCTCTGGGTTGGTGTAAAGAAATTCTCTGGTTTGGACTAAGGGCTAGTTTGGCATGTACTAAATAAGTCAAAAAGTCAAAAAGTCACTATCTTATTTAAGTCACATCATCTTATTTAAATCACATCACCTCTCTAACACATCACATCAAACTCAACCCAAACCCAACCCAAACCCACCAATAAGTCAAAAAGTGCACTTTTTTAGGACATCCCAAACCAACCCTAAATTTTCTTTGGTTTGGTCCAGAAAAATTTTCTGGTTTGGATTGAATTTTCTCTGGTTTGGTCTAGAGAAATTCTCTGATTTAGATTGAAATTTCTCTGGATTTATTTGAGGGACCTTAGACATTCTCTCTTTGGCATTTCATCAAACACCTTCTTTGCTAAATCTATGTCTCCAGCTCGTGTAAGGTTCTCTCCATTTTTTAGTTGCCATTATGATATATTCAATAATTATTTAAAGACAGAAGTAAAGAAAAATCTTGTAATTAAAAAAGAACAGAACCACAATCACACTAAGACTCAGAATCTATCAAACATAAAACATAAACGAGTGTAATGGAAACCCAAATTCCAATGTATACCTTCAATAGGTCTGGAAGAAGCCTCTCCACTATATGACCATGATGATAATAGAGACGGACCACCACTACCACAACTCTGAATTCGATTTAGAAGTTTTCGGCGAGAAAAGTAGCGATTGGAGACAAGCATAGGCATGGCGGCGGTGGTGGAAATGGGGACGATCTGGAAGTCTTCATGGTGGGAATGAGGACAATCTAGAAGACGCGGAGATGAAAGAGAGAGGAGAATAGATGAATTTAGCAGAGGAAAAGAGTTTAGAGAGAGAAAAAAAAATGAGATTTGATTTAAGAAATTTTTCTGTGATATATGAGTACAGGGGTTAAGGGACTTTAGACATCATAAAATAATATTATGGATCTTTTTCATTACTAAGGCCAAGTTTGGCATGTGGCCAAAAATGCAAAAAGTTAAAAAGTTACTCAAAAAATTAAAAAGTTATCACTATTCACCAAAAGTAAAAAATTACGGCTGCTCAACTCCCAATCCTAATTTTTCCTTACACACTAATTTATACAATTTTTTAATATACATTTTTTCATAAAAAGTAAAAAAGTTAACCCAAACAACCATATTTTTTTCCTCAAATTTTTAGTCTAAAAAGTAAAAAAATACACTTATTTAAGACATCCCAAATAATCCCTAAATATGAGAGAAGACCTTAGACTAATTTCCCTCTCAATTAGTCCTAAATTACTTAATAAGTACCCAAATAGTAGTTGGTGGTGACAGGTCCACATGACCAAAATCATGAAATATTTTGGTGACTATCTATACAAATGGGAAAAAGTATAAAAACACATAAAGTTCCCAATAGAATTGCGTATATTTGTATTTCTAATACAAACCATTAAAAAAAAAAAATCTTTATATTATTCGTTTGGAATTTTCTTTGTTTCTAGCCCAATATATTAAAAAGGGCATCCCATCGGCTAAGGCCCACGCGAACACAATTGTCAAACCAAGATTCCTTCTTAGCATCAATTAATTAATATAGTAATAAAAAATAAGGATTCTCTAAATTTGGAGAGCCTCCTCCAACTACGAGCTTAATAAGCCAGGTGTCAATCATCAACAAATCATGTGTGTGTACGAAGACCAAGAACAATAGTAATCTAGGATACACATTCCATTAGTTTACCATTCCCAACAGTGGAACTGTCTATTTTCTAAGTCATCACACACCTTGAAAATTAGTTATTTTCAAGTTTTGATCTCAAGTATTGTCTGTCAATTCATCCACCCTAGGAAAAGGATATCATGGCTTTTTCGGATTTGGAGAGGTTTGTTCCTTTTCCACAACCCATGCCCATAAAGAACGATTACAACACTCCGGATAATATTTGATGGCAAAGATTGAAGCACCCATTCTACAACTAAAGCAGAATGCAGGTAACAACAATGAGGACTAGTGCTCTGCTTTAGAAAAAATTGGGTTGGTT